TGTTTGGAATGTAATGTATGTACATTATTTTTTCTAATGAAAATTCTTTTTTTGATTTATCATATATAATGCATATTAAACTGTGTCTAGTGTGGCATAATCAGGCTTCCATCATGCTATGTTATTCCTAGAGGGCTCTGACAGCTCAGTGTAATAACATTTCTCTACACTTAAGTGTCAAAACTTTGAATTATTATGGAAATGTTCAGAAGCAGATATATTATAAGAGTACATTTTAGTATGCTTAGTGCAGTATTTCACTCATCAGCATTTTGTGTATTTTTCTTATATTATTAATGCTGTCAACACCTTCAAAATATACTGAACCCTCCAATTTCCCTGAACCTTGCCATAAGTATGAGGAGCCGTAGCTTTTGGGAATTAGGTAACAAAGATCTGTTCACTGAGAAAAAGCAGATATGAAAAAGCCTCCAACTGAGTTAAATTAGATTTAAACGAGAATTTAAATTAGAAATATTATTCATCTCAGCTATTTCAAACTAAATTTTGTTATTCAGTACCTAGTTTAAAAAACAAAACAAAAAAAAAAAAACCTTATCTGAAACAGGAGATGACTAGCTAGGACATAAATGTAAAAAAAAAAAATATATAGATTCCTTTTTAGGGTTACCTAGAAACTGTACATTATGTGCATTTCCACAATTACATGTTCCAAATTAATAATTCATCCTTTAAATAAATATTAAAAAATGTTTTAGTGAAAACATAATTTAGATAAACCGGAAGCTTCACTCACTTAATCTCCAAGAGGCACAGGGTTGATTGGTTCAAGGTTTATCTTTTCTTGCTGACCTGGAGGTTTTCATTCGTCCACAAGTGTTACTTTAGTTGATTAATTGAAGAGTGTATAATATTTTATTGAGTTTTTCTCACAACAAGATAATCCAAAGCATGTGTTGTCTCATGGTGGTTTTATTGCACCATTAAATGTTATAAGGCAACATTTTGACCGAACATTGCTCAGATCAAGTACAACTGGACCAGTGCCTTATGCAAGGTAGACTATGGAGGACACTATCAACCCTTAATACTGGACATTATCATTTTATTGTATTTTAACTACTTGTATATTTTTTAATCAATGTATCTTTAACCACTATTTATTTGTCATTGTAACATACCTGCATGTGCTTGTTCTTTATTATATGTGTGTATACGTGTGTGTGTGTGTGTGTGTATATATATATATATATATTGTGTGTGTGTACGTGCTTATTCATACATACATACATACATATATTTTGTTAATAACCACAAAGCACAGCATCAGAATGACTCATGGATAACTTCACAAGAATATTATGAGAACAGAGCTAGCTTTTTAGATAGTTATGAGAACAGAGATATTAACCGCACAGATCTGGCATGGCATTGTTGTGGGACTGAAAGTCTGGCCAGCTGCAGGTCCCATCCAAAGCTTTTGCAAGGTTTTTGCTGGGCTGCACTGATAAGAAGATTTGGTGAAAGAGTACAGACTATTCACCCCTTTGATTATTAAATTTCTTATAAAAGGCTAGAAAACTTGGCACTCGTTTGGAGTTCTACCCACCTGTAATACGGACGCGTATTGATGGTTCTGCTGATTTCACAGTAAGAGAGAGTCCCCTTTCTAGCCTGACTGTTAGAAGTTCTCTCAGTCGAGTGCAGCAAGTCTCTCTTATGGTGATGTATACTTAAGCTGTTTCTTTAAGCTGTTTTTTATCAAGCTGTTCCTTTGAGCTGTTCCTTTAAGCTGAATGATTATTAATTAAGTCTTTGTTAGTCAATAAAATTTGTACTGATTATTTACAAGTACTTGATGTCAGTGTCTTTCCCTTTCTCAAATACTCAATTCACTCATCCCGAATAGGGTTTTGGTGCCCACCAATATCTTTAAAAACCTTAGGGTAATTGATTATTGCTTTTTGATATTGGCACTTCATTAATTTAATGATTAGGCACAACATTTTGGCGTCACGGACAGGATGTGAATTGGGAAATATAGTTGCTAGGAATGTGCTAGCATAAGTTTAAGATAAGAAAATTGTGTTTTGAAACTTAAGAACTGTTTATGTAGATTTTAAGTGAAGGTGAAAGTGAAACTAACATTGGACGAGGTTTAGTTTCTGCTGCGTCACGAAGGAAAAAAGCTGTTTAAAGGCTGTCAGTTTCTTCTGAGCGCTGTAGTAAATATACTATAGAGATTTTAAGATCAGATAACAATCATTATGGTTTCTAGAGATTCTTTGAACATTGTGTAAACTTGAAAATAATTGCATGACGTGCATGAAGAGCAAGATTGATGTGTGAATGCTCAATCTAAAATAAAAAATAAATAAAAATAAAGATTTAGGAGTGATTCTGAAGATTGATTCAAAGAATACAAGTTGTGCCCAGTCAGTAGACGCACCTATACTCCATAACGGTGTGTAGAAAGCCAGTGCTGATTGGGGAACTATATACACAGCTCAAAAAAATAAAGGGAACACAAAAATAACACATCCTAGATCTGAATGAATTAAATATTCTTCTGAAATATTTTGTTCTTTACATAGTTGAATGTGCTGACAACAAAATCACACAAAAATAAAAAATTGGAAATCAAATTTTTCATCCCATGGAGGTCTGGATTTGGAGTCACACTCAAAATTAAAGTGGAAAAACACACTACAGGCTGATCCAACTTTGATGTAATGTCCTTAAAACAAGTCAAAATGAGGCTCAGTAGTGTGTGTGGCCTCCACGTGCCTGTATGACCTCCCTACAATGACTGTGCATGCTCCTGATGAGGTGGCGGATGGTCTCCTGAGGGATCTCCTCCCGGACCTGGACTAAAGCATCTGCCAACTCCTGGACAGTCTGTGATGCAACGTGACGTTGGTGGATGGAGCGAGACATGATGTCCCAGATGTGCTCAATTGGATTCAGGTCTGGGAATTGGGCGCGCCAGTCCATAGCATCAATGCCTTCGTCTTGCAGGAACTGCTGACACACTCCAGCCACATGAGGTCTAGCATTGTCTTGCATTAGGAGGAACCCAGGGCCAACCGCACCAGCATATGGTCTCACAAGGGGTCTGAGGATCTCATCTCGGTACCTAATGGCAGTCAGGCTACCTCTGGCGAGCACATGGAGGGCTGTGTGGCCCCCCAAAGAAATGCCACCCCACACCATTACTGACCCACTGCCAAACCGGTCATGCTGGAGGATGTTGCAGGCAGCAGAACGTTCTCCACGGCGTCTCCAGACTCTGTCACATGTGCTCAGTGTGAACCTGCTTTCATCTGTGAAGAGCACAGGGCGCCAGTGGCGAATTTGCCAATCTTGGTGTTCTCTGGCAAATGCCAAACGTCCTGTACGGTGTTGGGCTATAAGCACAACCCCCACCTGTGGATGTCGGGCCCTCATGGAGTCTGTTTCTGACCGTTTGAGCAGACACATGCACATTTGTGGCCTGCTGGAGGTCATTTTGCAGGGCTCTGGCAGTGCTCCTCCTGTTCCTCCTTGCACAAAGGCGGAGGTTGCGGTCCCGCTGCTGAGTTGTTGCCCTCCTACAGCCTCCTCCACATCTCCTGATGTACTGGCCTGTCTCCTGGTAGTGCCTCCATGCTCTGGACACTACGCTGGCAGACCACAGCTCGCATTGATGTGCCATCCTGGATGAGCTGCACTACCTGAGCCACTTGTGTGGGTTGTAGACTCCGTCTCATGCTACCACTAGAGTGAAAGCACCACCAGCATTCAAAAGTGACCAAAATATCAGCCAGGAAGCATAGGAACTGAGAAGTGGTCTGTGGTCACCACCTGCAGAACCACTCCTTTATTGGGGATGTCTTGCTAATTGCCTATAATTTCCAACTGTTGTCTATCCCATTTGCACAACATCATGTGAAATTGATTGTCACTCAGTGTTGCTTCCTAAGAAGACTGTTTGATTTCACAGAAGTGTGATTGACTTGGAGTTACATTATGTTGTTTAAGTGTTCCCTTTATTTTTTTGAGCAGTGTACTTAAACAGGCTAGCGTCCTGAATAAGGCTGGATTGCTGCTAATTCAATAAGCTCAATCGCAGGTATTGAGATAAGGTCATCAATACCACAAGATTGTTTGGGATGAATTTGACACAAATGGGTGATTGTGCTTGGTCAGTAACAGTGCACCTATGCACCATAACAGGTGTGGGAAGCCAGCGCTGACTGTGGAAGTGAATGAAACAGCTGTTCCTGTATGTGTGAGATTGTTGGCTCAATCATAGACGCCCCTATACACTTCACAGAGTGTGTAGAAAGCCAGTGTGGTCAGGGAGCACAAACCTGCAGCCAGAATAGTCACCTGGGCAGGCTTAAGTGAAGAATAAGACAATAAACCAGTCACCAGGTGTCTGTATTAGTACACATTCAAGTGAAATTAAATAAACACATAGAACACATATCCCCAAGGAGTGCAAGTTAAAAAAACCAAAAAAAAAAAAAAAAACGTAACACATTTGCACAGTGTTTAAAAAGAATAAGAAACAGGGTGAAGACGCCATCATTCCCGGATTGGAAGATGAGCCATATCCTTTGATTTCCAGTGATTGGGCTCGTTCAACTGGTAACTGTGACTATAAATGTGAAAAAAGTGAAATGCCTACTAACCTTCTTGCTTGTCTGAAAGAGATTCCAAAAGATAAGTGGCAGAAAAGAGGTTGGGTAAAACTTACTGTATATAGACAGGCACACAAGGATAAATGTCAGATAGAAAAAGAAAAGCATTTATATGAAATGTTGTTGCAAAAATCTGTGATGAAGGTAACTAGGGCCAAGGGAAAGGTTGGGACTCGTAAGATAAGCAAGAGGAATATGCAGGTGTGTTTAGCACAAGTAGGACCCGATTTGGATGCTGAAATTTAGGATGGCAACATCTGGAGCTCATATGATGAGTCTTAAGGGGTAAATGCATTGCTTCTGGTCAGAAGAAAGTTGGAGTACACTGACCTGGGGCAAGTTAGCAGGACCTCTATGGAAGACTATACACAGCAAGAGATGGCTGAAATTCTTTCAAACATCAGACAGCGATCAAAGGAACTGCTGGATGAATGGGTTGTCAGACTAGCTGAAACAGGAGTAGGAGGCATTAATCTTGATGCCATAGACTCACCAAAGTTGGCTACTATCTCAGAGGATGAGAATGTAAGGAGGATGTTGTTAAACGGACCTCCCGCAGTAGATGGGAATCCGGCTTCACTCACTCTCCTGGAGCTTGACCAGATAGGGTTAGAATTGCGGTATCCATCTGTCAGTGACTGACCAGATAATGACATTCCATGGTACGGGCTGACAGATGCAGTAAGAAAACTGAAACAGGAGATGGTCAGACAGACTATCCAGAATTCACAACAACTGGATAGACTAATGGAAATGCCTGTGACAGTTCAAATGAGAAATAAGATCATAAAAACTGCCCCTCCAGCATATAAGCAGGTGATATTGACACTGCTTATAAATCAAGCCGGAAACACATTGCAATTTGTTACTGAAGCCATTATGCAATTAGGAGAATCGGGGGACTGGGCACCCAGGACCTAGGTACCCAAGAACCCTGGTGAGGGAGGCTTCCCAAGACCAGGTTCATCAACATTCAGACCATCTGGGAAACCAAAGGATGGAAATACTTTCACTTTCATCTACTTTTACCCTTTGTGTCGCTATACCCCACTCCCTCTAGAATGTAAGCTCATTGAGCAGGGCCCTCCACCTCTCTGTTCCTGTCCAGTTGTCTGGTTACAATGACATGTCTGTTAGTCCATCCATTGTACAGCGCTACGGAATCTGATGGTGCTATATAAACAGTAAAATAATAATAATAAGATAAATGTGCCTTTGACCAGTGTTTTCCTCATTTTATTATGTATGCATAATCACTATTGTTGCTGGCTCTTGGATATTTTGTAATGTCAATCATTGTATTCCCCAATAAAAAGAAGCAGTAATTTAAATTTAATACCTATGTGTTTATTTACTGAACTGTAAATTGCAGAGAGCTGAAAACCAAAATGCAAAATTTGGACAAAAAAAATTCAACTGTGACTATACTTAAGTTGGATATTTTTTTTCAGGTCAGAGATTTTGGCACGAATTTTGCAAATTGGTTTCAAATTAATTGCGATTCATCGCACCCTATGCAGTATGAAGAATAAAAAAAAAAAATGATCAACGTAAATGGCCAAACAGAAATGATAAACATATGCAAGAAAAAGAATTGTGTACTGTACTTTGCAAACAATTCCCACATACAGTAGATAGAGATTCAAGGCTAAAACCTGGTATCAATAATATTTTTCCTTGTCTCTGACTTCTAAAATGCAAGTCTTAACTTTCTGTAAGAATAAAATGAGATCTCTTTAAATAATCGATCTCTTCTTTACCATGGACTTCTATGTAATTTAGCAATCTCTTGCTTGTCCTGCAATCTTTTTGCACAGACACAAGTTGTTCACAATAACTTCTCCAAAGATTGTATTGCAAATTACAGGTTATATTGTGTTTTTTAACAGGGCATGCTTTTATTCGTTATCCAATCAGAAAGTTACATTTGGTCTTAATGTATAGAAAATGTAGTAAAAGGGGTTGAGGAGTTTGTACCTTCCTACTGTTACTAGGCAGGTCAGCAGTAAGGAGGGTGTTTAATTGGGACTTTACTGTTGTTACTAGGCAAACATCATTACGGGTAGTAGGAGATAGGAAAGAGCATATGAAGTCCAGGCTTGTAAAGAACCAACATCCTCTATACCAGTGATGGCGAACCTTTTTGAGCCCGAGTGCCCAAATTGCAATACATGCCAACTTTTTTACCTCAAATTGCCAACACGGCAATTAAACCTGAATACTTAGGTTTAAGTTTAGAATAAAAACAACTCATACAGTTGTCTGAGCTAATTCTCCTCTTCTCTCACCCCAGCATCTTCCCTTCTCTACCCACAGCATATCCTCCTCTCTCCCCAGCATCTCCTCCTCCCCCTCTCCCCTTCTCCCCCCCAATATCTCCTTCTCCTCTCCCCAGATTCTCCTCCTCCTCTCCCCTTCTCCCCTCCAGATTCCCCTCCTCCTCTCCCCCAGATTCTTCTCTTCCTCTCCCCCAGATTCCTCTCCCCTTCTCCCCCCTTCTCTCCATTCCTTCCCCATAATCTTCTCCTCTTCTCCATCAGATTCTCCTCTTCCTCTCCCTCAGATTCTCCTCTTCCTTTCTCTCAGATTCTCCTCTTCCTCTCCCCCCAGCATCTCCTCCTCCTCTCCCCCAGCATCTCCTCTTTTCTCCCCCCAGCATCTCCTCCTTTCTCCCCCCAGCATCTCCTCTTTTCTCCCCCCCAGCATCTACTCTTTTCTCCCCAGCATCTCTCCTCCTCTCCCCTCAGCATCTCCTCCTCCTCTCTCCCAGCATCTCCTCTTTTCTCCCCCCAGCATCTCCTCCTTTCTCCCCAGCGGTTCTTCTTCTCTTCCCGCAGCATCTCCTCTTCTCTCCCCGCAGCATCTTCCCCTCACTACCCCAGCATATCCCCCTTCTTCCCACATACCAGCGCATATATAATGTGTTATTTTTGGTGCGGGTGGGGGTTTGAAGTACACCCAGACTCCCTACCTGGTGGATCCGATTCCTTCCCGCTCCTGTGAGGGGGTGTGGGCGCGAGGGAGCACTGACTTAAGTGCTGTTCTAGCACTGCTCCCTCCGCTGATGCCGCCGGGAAACAGGAAATTACGTCAATCAGGCGACGGTGCCTGATTGATGTAATTTCCTGTCTCCCGGCGGCATCAGTGGAGGGAGCAGTGCTGGAACAGCCCGAAAGTCAGTGCTCCCTCGCAGCCCTCCATCCCTTCCACCCACCAGTGCCATCTTAACAACATTACGGGCCCCCGGGCAAAGCAGTGCACTGGGGCCCAGCCTACACACAACAGGAATAAAAATGTAAATTATAGATAAAATTAGGCTTATATTTATTAGTATCTCCAACAAATGCAATACATACATAAAATACATACACACAGACTGCTGAATACATACACACCGACACACACACACAGTCCGCGGCATACATGCACACAGTCCGCTGCATACATGCACACACAAACATACACACAGACTGCTGAATACGTACACACAGTCCGCTAAATACACACATACAGACTGCTGAATATGTACACACAGTCCGCTAAATACACACACACAGACCGCTGAATACACAAACTGCTGAATACACAGACAGACTGTTGAATACACACACACACAGACAGACTGCCGAGTACACACAGACTGCTGAATACATACACACAGTCTGCTGAATGCATACACACAAACACACACATACACACAAACACACACACATACTGCATTGAGGGGTGCAGTGTATGTGTTTGTGTGTACGGGTGCGGAGTGTGTGTGGAGTGCTGTGTGTGTGGAGTGCTGTGTGTCTCTGAGGGGTGCTGTGTGTGTGGGGACTGTGCTGTGTATGTGGAGTGCTGTGTGTCTCTTAGGGGTGCTGTGTGTGTGCGTGAGGGGGTACTGTGTGTAGGTGGGAGGGGGTGTGTGTGTGGGGAGGTGCTGTGTGTGTGTGGGGGAGCTGTGTGT